AGCGTCCCACCAAACAACCATTGCAGAGACGCAATGCTGCAGAACGCAACAAGCTCAATGCGACTATCGTCGGGCTCACACCATCCCAAAGTCCCCCATACATTCCAGTGGACATCACCACCCGCATACCTCCATCGACCAGAACCACAAGAGTGCGTCGAATCAGGCGCAGCACACCCGCAAATCCATCACAAGACGTATACGCAATACCGCAAGAAGCAGTAAGCATCGATGCAACTATCATACGGATGGCGCCCCCTCACAACACACCTACATGATCCCTATCGACTTTGGTAACAAAGTTTGTATTGTTTTAACTAAAAAATATCACGAACGTATCTAGTAGCTAAGACGCCAATGAACAAAACCCCACGTATCATAGCGCTAATGCACTAAGACATGAAGTTGAGTATGCCTGTTACACTTAAAAGTGCTACCAAACACACTCATCATCCCAATCCGAAATATAGACGACGCATCGCTATGCGCTACTACGCCGCCCACAAACGGTATGGGTGTGCGATGTCCACGGGAAAGCCGTATTGCTACAACAAACCCACTTATCACCGGCACTAAGATATTAATTGTATACCTCCATCGACCAGAACCACAGGAATGTGTCGAATAAGGCGTAACACACCCGCAGATCCATCACAAGACGTATACGCAATACCGCAAGAAGCAGTAAGCATCAATGCAACTATCATACGGATGGCGCCCCCCTCACAACACACCTACATGATCCCTATCGACTTTGGTAACAAAGTTTGTATTGTTGTTAACTAAAAAATATCACCAACGTATCTAGTAGCTAAGACGCTAATGAACAAAACCCCACGTATCATAGCGCTAATGCACTAAGACATGAAGTTGAGTATGCCTGTTACACTTAAAAGTGCTACCAAACACACTCATCCCAATCCTAAAGATAGACGACGACGGCAGGGTGCGGACCCCGACTTGTCCAGTCAAAAGATCACTCCTAACACAAGCATTTTCATCACACCGGTAGTGGTTAAATAGTTGGTACCACCTTGAGGGTCAATCAATTTTCGTTCGAAAATTACTTTACATATAGACTGAAGTATATGGCATTATTATAAAGCAATTTTGCTCGAAAGAAAATAACCTTTTGTATTTATTGCACTAAACTTCAATTTGAAAATAAGAATGGAAAAATTTTGCTTGACTTGAAATTTAGTATAGTTACTCATTTTGCAATGTACAAGCTCACAAAAAAAAACGATTTTTTACGATAGTACCATCAAAAAAATTCTTGATATTTTACATCTGTTTCGCATAAGTAGCTGGATTCCGAAATAAAATATTATCATGCGCCCAGCGCAGCGAGCGGGTATCAGATAGAATTGCTATAATTTTTAAATATATGTCACACTTGTGGTTAAAAATTATCTTATTAAATAAATCATTTGCCGTGAAAAATGTTATTAACATAAATAACGTTACACAATACTACACGTACAATAAGGATTACATTTTTTTAGTAAATCAGAAGCTACGAGCGTACTTTTTCTCATGTTCGACATAGTCTTATCATTGCAAACTCTACGCATACATTATACGCATGATCTTCAATATGTTTATCTCTTCAGTCAAATATACTATCTCTATTTATACATATTTGAAAAATTCCACAAGTACCATATTTGAAAAATTCCACAAGTACCACCTATACACATGTTCTTTTCTTAATTTAATTACTCTAAGGGCCATGGGGCCATGCAATTTTTCACAGACTATACAGTGAAAGAAAATGTGAGTGTTACAGTACAACAATGCAATGGAAATAGGTAGTTATTTGTAAAATGGACACAACACAATGGCGGTTCCTCTACATTTATCAAGTAGAAGCATTATGTTGACGGAAATAAATAGTTTTTCATCTCTTTATATGTATGATTAAAATATTAATATAAAAATAATATTAATAATGTAATTTAAGACAAACGAGCTACGATTTTGCATATCATGACTGGAGAACGAAAAATACAACCGTGAAATAAAAGCATAATATTTTTTTTAAATCTAGAGTGACGAACAAAGTTAAAGCCATCTTATGGTAAATGTTTATTGCGGCTCTATACCTGCAGTCAAATTCAAGCAAATAAAGCTACAGTTGCGTCGTCACTTGTGAGGACTAAGATGAAATGCCTCACAGCTTGTAATACTGGCGTCGTGCAGGCACTGCTAATTGGTGGCGAAGTTGGTAAGATTTGGTTTGGCTATTGGTAATTTGTTACTTGTGAGAACTAAGAAACTAAGATAGAATGCTTCATGACCTATAAAAATACCTCTTAGACCAGAACACAGCAGTAAGCCCATTGCAACTGCTGCTTGGCTACCTTGGGTATAAGTATCTCTAACTCCACTTAGATGGAATGCCTTGTTTCCAGTAAAAAAGGGTCTCCGGATCTCTACACTCACCATACGAAATACAGCAGTATTAACCTGCTATTTTACGCTGGTGTTCTGTGCGTGCGTGGCCCTTGCCCGGTCGAGCCGACCCATTCGTGCTCTAAATTATTCGACTATATTATAGCTGCATCGTGGCTCTATCACGTATGAAGAATGTTCCACGAATGACAAAATCCTTAAAAATAAAACTAATAGAATATCTACTTACTGATGATGATAAAGATGCATATAGACAAAGTTTTAAAAAAGTTAGGCTGTCAAACGAGCACACAGTTTACCTTCGGTGGAGAAGCAATGTATTGTGGTTGGTATACTACAGATTTAGGCACATAGGAAATGAAATGAAATGAAATGAAAACTTGTATATTTCTTGACTTAAGAAATCAAAATTTCGTTTTAAAATATTTTTGATTAAAAAAATACATTTCAAATGTCTTTTTTAATCTACTACTAATTTTAAAACGGGTAATTAATGTATTACAAGCTTGAGCGTACCAGCAATGGACCTGTTCGCAAATATGACGTACGCACGCAACGTAGCAGCAATAGGTAGTTATTTTATGCCTACAGTATAGATTTTGCCATAGTTATAGCAGCTTAATACCACTGTTTGGTATTGTGAGTGTAGAGATTCGGAGACCCTTTTTTACTGGAAACGAGGTATTCCGTCTTAGTCCTCATGGGTGACAACGCGTCTGCATTTTGATTCGTTATCGAGTATAGATGTAGATGACTATGGGTCATAGCAACCACTTACCATCAGGTGGACTGCATGCTCGTTTGTCACCCTTATTCTATAAAAAAAGTTGACACGCTTGACGGGTTGGAAGGCAACCGCAGTTTTTTATGAATATGAATTGTTATCAGAATTATTCTCCAGGCTACCTTCTGTCGTATTTACTTCTGCCGTCCCGTACGACAGGCACGGGATGATATGGGGTAGTGGAATCTTTGACGCCGCCATTGCGGAGCGAATTTTCTGTATGAAATACTTTATTATGAAACGTTAAACCTTTTCATAAATTCACAAATATAAGACTTTTAAATAAGTACATTCTGTACTGCCAAAATTATCTCCTGTAAATTTTGTACAAATTTGCATTTTGTTGTTAATACTTTGGGTCTGGTGAGGATCTACGTTGTTAAATATATTCCAAGAAAGTTAGATAAAGTAATTCGGTATGCTATATAGCTTTTACGGTGTCTTTTTATATTTTTGTTTCATATATAAGGTTAGTATCATATATATATATATATATATATATATATATATATATATATATATATATATATATATATATATATATATATGTTTCATATGTAAACAGCAAATTTGATAACTGTTAATTTCAAAGCAGTAGTTCAACTTTACAGACTTATACTTTTAATGAAGTCACATTATATTACCCCTGACCTCTATACAACATGTAACAAAACCCCTGTGGTTCCCGTTAAGTGCGTTATCAGAATCAATATCCAAGCGTATTGAAATATTTTTTTCGAATAAACAGATTTAAAAAAATTTATTTTAATAAAAAAAATTGATTTACAAATTGCATGTTTTTTTGTAGGATAGGGTGACAAACGAGCATATAGTCCACCTAATGGTAAGTGGTTGCTGTGACCCATAGACATATATATCTATCCTCGATTACGAATCAAAATTCAGATGCGTTGTCACCTGTGAGGACTAAGATGGAATGCCTCGCTTCCAGTAAATAGGGTCTCCGGTTCTCTACACTCACCAACGAAACACAGCAGCAATAAGCTACTATTTGACGCTGGTATTCTGTGAGAGCGTGGTCCTTCCCCGGTCGAGCCGACTCATTCGTGCTACAACTACTGTGGTTTTATTATCTCTTCATTGGCCGAGGAGTAAGAGGATTGTCAAAGACCTCGCATTACTGATACTCGTGTGAGTTAGAGAAAATAAAACCACAAACAATTTGCTAATTAATTTTTTTCATTAAAATTATTTTTTTAAATGTATTTTTTTGAGAAAAAAAATTCTATACGCTTGGATACTGATTCTGATAACGCTGTTAACGGGAACCACAGGATTTTCGTTACATGTTGTATATACAAGATATATACAACACTTTTTTTTTACTTTTTTTTTTACAAGATATATACAACTTTGTCAAATACATAGAAAAGGTAACAATAGCTCATACATAGAAATTTTCATCAAATAAGAGTTAGGGAAAATCTAAATGCCTTTGTGCCACAGCTTAAATAATTGTTCTTTACTTTATCCGACGGAGTCACCTTGCCTTAACATATAATTAAAAAAAAACTTTCAGAAGACTCTCTCAATATTAGTAAGGCAATCAACACGTGGGTTACGTATTGTAAATATTTTTTATAGAATTTTAATTAGGGATATTTTTTTCTATAAAAAATAAATTAAGTTATAAATTAAGAAACTCTGATTTATTTTCTTAATGTCAACTATATTAGAATATTGCTGTATTTACAGCAATGTCACACTTGTCAACACTTATATTTGCTACGTTGTTTTTATTTACATAGACAAGACTGATTATAAGTTAATAATTGTAGTGCTACTCTAGAGAATCCGCTTCACTTTTGTTTTCTTCTGAATTTACCTCATTCACACTTCTTCTAGAATTAATCATCTCGAGCAAATCAACTTTTTGCATTGTCACCCTTACAAGGTCCTTTAAGATCTTCCTAATATCTTGATCTTGGGATATTAAGCTTTTGATATGCTGCCTTGTAAATTCGACATTTCTCCTACCGCCAATCGGCGGCTGCAGTCCTGAAACTAGTTGCGTTTGCTTCTTTTTACCCTTCTGGTTCAAAGGGGGTTGAAGAACAGGTTGTTGGAATGGTTGAGGTTTGGGCATGCTGTTTTCTAGCATCGTTGGTGACTGCCTGCTCATTATCGATGGATACCGATCGTGCACACATTCGCCTCCGCAGCACATGCTACAGTACATTTTGCACTCTTGCGGTGGCGGTGGTGGATTCGTTCTTGTTAGTAGCTCTTTTACAGGTGGAGCGTCTTGTTTGCGTTTGTGGTTGCAGTCTTTGTAGTAAATCAGATTTTCAATACTCTCCTCTGACGACGAGACGTGTTTTTTCGTTATCACATTCGAAATTTGAAGTGTAAATATTATCTGGAAATGAAAATTGATTAACTTTCATGTACATCCATTTCATCAATTTAGATTTCAGGACCTTCAGATAACTGTCATATATTTTATAAATCTTAACATAATCTGCTAACATAAAAAAAAACCTAATAGCCTAAGCTTAAGCGCTAACCATTTGCGATTTCAGAAATGCGTCACAACTTTTCATGAATCTCCCATTATGTCTTCTACTGAATTAGTAATCTTAGAGTTACTAACAAAGCCCTTAAATAACCACTAACCGTTTCAAGTAATTCCATTATGACGTGATTTCGGCACAAACTCTTTTATGTCAACTAATACCTTATCAATGGTTGCGGAAATATCGATCGCATGTTTTGTAAACTCCGACAATTCAACAAGCATCGATGAAAATTATTAGGCTTTGATTTCAAAATCTACTTTAGGCGTATAAACTTTCTAACGTTGGTTATGTTGTAAATTATTTTTTGTATTAAGGGCCTAAGAGCGGTGAAATGCCTAAATTCTTGGATATTTAAGTAAGAAATCACAGTTACTGTTAATTTAATCCGCATAAAGAATAGGATGGTAGATGGTAGAATCTACTTATTATCAAAAAAGTCCTCAACACTACTCACTTTTCTTGTATTTCGCACCTGAAAATATCATTTTCTCCGAAACTGAACAGCGCGAGCGTGCCTGCTCTCTAGCGCCCTCTAATCCCTCGCGAGCTCTGTCGCGGTCGCAGTCCGTTTTCGGACATTGTCGAGGGTAGACTGCCCGTCGGTGTTGGAGCGACTTAGTTCAAATACATTTTAGGTTTTGAAGAGTCTATAATATTTTGTAAATATTTTATGAATAGAAATACATAGTTTAGACTTTAGATAATATCTGTACATGGGTAAATGTATATATTGTTTTCTAACTAAATAAATTTATAAAGTGCCCAAAGAAGAAGAAATATTCGGGGCAACGTTGATAAGTGAAATTGAAAAATGCATTTTTATAGAATTTAGATGTGAAACGAGGATCATGCTAATATTGATAGTTTTTAATAATTATGTAATTTAATTGTTGCATATTTTTATTAAGTAGGTAATACTGATGATGATTATGATGATTTTATAATTATGTGTTACAATAAAACGCTGCTTTTAAGAGTATGCCTTGTTGGCAAGGGAAAACTAGTTACTGATATTTATATTTAGGTACCCTATTATACAATTAAATCAAACAATTTTAATAAAACAAAAAGGTACTTTCCTAAAGCACCGTTTTGTCTTTTTTTAATTAATTAAAGAAAATATATTCTTGAGTTTATGTTAATTTTATACAAACCATCAAACAAACAAAAAAAAACAAAAATATTAAATCAACCAAACTGCTGGCCATATGAAGAATCTGAAGGTCGCTCAGCAAGCTATGGAGAGGGCTCTGCTCGGGTTTTCTTGGCGTGATAGACTTAAAAATGAGAATATCCCAAGTATAACCAGAGTACCCGACATAGCCCAACGGATTAGTAAAGTGAAGTAGCAATGGGCTGACTGCATAGCTTAAAAAACCAATAAACGACGTACAAGAAAGGTGCTCGAGTGGCAACCATCAGTAAGTGAAATATAGGGTGGCCCCCACTGGATGAAGGGACGACATGGTAAGATATGCAGGAAGTCGATAAATGCAGGTGGCTCAGGACCGTGCGTTGTGGCATTCTTTGGGGGAGGCCTATGTCCAGCAATAGCCTTGTGAAGGGCTGTCAAGATAATGATGATGAAGCCAAATTTAATAAAACTATTACTAACTACTAATACTCATGATCATGTCTAACCAACCATAAAAATGTATTACTTGTGATGGGAATGTACATACGAGAATGAAGATTATTTCACACGGAACAGATAATTTATATCTTCCATATCTCTAGTATCTGCATAAAATCCCTGAATCCCGAAGTGTGTCCATATTAAGAAGCCTGAATAGAAAAGCCAAATTAAGCTGCACGGGGATCGTTTTGTGTGAAGTCCGTGATTCGCACCGTTAGCGAAAAAAAATTAATAACAATTGAGCGTCTTCTTACCAGGTGACGGTTTCTTAAACACAATATCACAAAATTCACTCCATAGAAAATAACTAAAGCAGTAGTAAACAAAGTCGCCGCTGAAAACACTTAAATTCCCAACTTTCTCGGTTTTCCATAAAATAATGTTCAGTATAATATGTACAATTAGTGCCATATGTTAATAAAAATGAGATTGACTTTATTATGACGACCAAACGCCAACTGTTCAGTGATGTCTCAGTGATTGCAAGGGAAAACTAGCGGCGATCACCGAATGGTTAGATGCACACTGAACCTAAACGTTAAGTTGGAGAGGTCTCGTCTAATGAAGTCAACGCTCCGTCCCCCTCGTGCTCTAATCCAAAATCCCGAAACCTTTCAGTTCGAGTTACAAAACCGCTTTCAGTGCCTGGATGATTGCAATACAGTGGACGATATGAATGACAAGCTCGTGGAAACCGTCCATGCTGTTGGAGCTAAGTTCTGCAAGACCCGCGGCAGAAGAATACAAAATCTCGCTCGTTTCTCCCAACGGATGTCTGGCACATGGACAAAACTAAGATCATGTTTAATGTTTATGTCACACCTATGGCAATAGTTGTTGGCAGCACTATGCTTGAAGTTGTTGACGAGTACGTTTACCTGGGACAAATAGTCCGACTAGGTAAGTCCAACTTCAACCGAGAGGTCAATCGACGGATTCCACTCGGTTGGGCAGCGTTCGGGAAAGTACGACACATCTTCTTGTCAGGTATACCTCAAACTCTAAAAATTAGATTGTACAACCAGTACGTGTTGCCAGTGATGACTTACGGATTTGAGACGTGGTCCTTCACTGCTGGCCGTATGAGGACGCTCAAGGTCCCTCACCGAGCTATCTAGAGGGCTATGCTGGCTGGGCTTCTCTGCGTCATAAACTCAAAAAGGAAGATATCCGCAGTAGACCAGAGTGAACAACATAGCCCAACGGATTAGTAAGCTGAAGTGGCAATGAGCCGGCCATATAGCTCGGGGAACCGATAACTGATGGGGAAAAAAGGTTCTCGAGTGACAGCGTCATATCGGTAGGCGTAATGTAGGAAGACCCCCCACTAGATGGAGTGACGACCTGGTAAGACATGCAGGAAGTCGATGGATGCAGGTGGCTCAGGACCGTGCTTTGTGGCATTACGTGGTGGAGGCCTATGTTCAGCAGTGGACTTGTGAAGGGCTGTAATGATGATGATGTTAATAAAGCTATTGGCTGAGTTTAAAGTGTCTAATTTAATTAGATAATTCATTTTACCTTTTTAAACCAAGTAGCGAAGACTTCTCTGTCACTCCTACTAAATTTGACAGTGCTCGCTAAAATTCAGTGTCTCTGGGCGGATCGGAATCGAACACTGACACAGCTGTCAAATTGTTGCCAAAATAATCGAAAATAATTACTTTTGCTTTCATGCCTGTCTTGTATTAGTAAATGGTATAGTTATATATTATAGTATAGTATAGTACATAGTATCTTGTTTCGTTTTATTACATTTATATATATATATATATACCAGAATCCCCCAGGATTGCCAGTAAGAGCTAATGCAAAACATACCTCTACATTATGAATACATTTATTAAAACTCTCTTTAAGATACATAAGGATGCATATAAGATAGACCGTAATATTTACCTCTATGAAACGAATTTTTTTAATTTAGAACCTTGACATAACATATTCTATTGAATAGTCTTGACACTTTTAATTCTTAGTAATACAGTTGTTTGTTGTTTATTGATTTCTATTTTGGCAGAAATAAAAAATACTGTATTTTCATTCAAGTGTATTTTCTTTTGTTTGTGGAAATCCTTCAATTTAACAGCAGGTGAGTATTTACGTAGTTTTGAAGTTTTCTTACCATGTTTGAATGAATTCTTGTCCCACCTAATCTCTATTTAACAAACCTCATTAGAACAAATTACTTGGTATAACAAATATTTTATAATTCCCTTCAGTTTAGTTATATTGAGGTTGCACTGTATTACAATCTTGGAATGCGTCACAATCACATACGAAAATAAACGAATTCTTCCTCAACATTATTAAAATTCTAAATAAATAGTTCAATGTTCACTAGGCTTGGCATTGCAAAATCTACCAGTTTCCTGTGTTACATTTTTTGATATTAGGAACTTTTAATTACAGACACGACATTGAGGTAGAGTTCAGAGGCGGGAACAGCACAGCAGGAAAATGGCGTGGTACAGAATAATGAAATGGATTTTTAAAAAGCTAAAGATATATTAGGGTTTTTTGCTAACCACTAAAAGTAGTTTATGCTAATTAAGTTCATACTTTTCTATATAAAGCTGCAATAAATTTTAAAACATGAACCTCTTCGCTGTTATATGAAAACAATTAATCTAATAAGTAAAACACAAGATGGACTGATCTCAAAGTAAACTTTCTTGTGTAAAAAGTGCTATTTAGAATTTTATACTGATAATAATTAACGTTTCAATGTGAATAGGTGTGCCATCGCAGGGATTATATCCATTGGTAGTGGTAGTGGTATATTTGGAATAGTTTTCTGCGGCACTAAGCCTACAAGTTATTACAGGTAGAAAATACCAAGGCCAGCACCATTTTCTGTACAAAATCTTGGAAAGTGTTGCTCAATGAACTATGAACAAAGCAGCTGATAAAAACTGTACTTCATAACTGTTAACAAAAAATGTTTTTCTCCAAACAATATTATTGGAAAAACTTTTCTATAGTGTCAGGTGCGGGAGCTAGTAGTAGAAGGAAAGGAGATAAAATTTTGTTTTGTCCGCAATCGTACATAAGAGAAAAAAACTAAGGCCAAAGAGCACGAATGGCTTTATAATTACTCAGGCCTATGGAATACTATAATACACAATAGAATGGCTGTCAACCTTATTTTGTACGAGGATCGAAGTCGCAGTTATCACTACTACAAACACATTTTAGACTTTTAATGAATGTTTTCAACATATAAATATTTCTTTATTTTTGTTTCTAATATTCACAAAATAAAAATAGTTTCCACTTACTGGTTTTAGAATATGTCTCCTTTATTTAAATTCCATTTTCCGCTGTTCTTTCGACTCGTAATTATTGCACAATTTGCCACTTTTTAAATAATTTGCATGCAGCGACGCTTGACACGAAAATAATTTTCGTGATTGCGTTGACATTAATTTATAGGTGTGAATTGAAGTGTTAGTGACATGTAAGTGGCTACACGAGCT